TTTCGTTTATAACCGTTGAAAAGCTTTGTCCTGTTACTTGATCTCTGAATATTTTTTTTTCGTGATTTTTTGCTGATGTGATCTCCAAGCATATACAAACAATTTTGACGGTTTGGATCGTTGAAATTTAGTTTTGGAGAATTCGTATGGCATCAATCAAGTTCCGTGTGTGTGTGTATATATATTTATTAAGTAGATTTAAATCTATTTATTTTGTACGTATAAATTATAATTGACTGGTACACGGAATAGTACATACATCACGTGTCACATGTGTCATTATAAAAATAGTGAGATATGTCATGACAGTCATGTGTGTGATAAAAAGTTAATAACTTAAAAAAAAAAAAAAAATTCTCACCACTTCTATTAATTTTCATTTTTCCCTCTCTTTTTTGTTTCATTTTCAACTTTTTCTTATCATTTTCACTTTTCCCTCCAACATCTTTCCCTAATTCCCTCCAACATCTTTCCCTAATTCCCTCACTTTTTGTTTCATTTTCAACTTTTCTTAACATTTTCATTTTCCCTTCATTTTTTTTTTTCAAAAAGGGCTGCAACTTGGCAACGGCAAGAAATTGATTATTGAAATTTGAATGGAAAGAAATCACTCAAATTTCAATGGATGCAAAATCATGCAATGCATCATGCATATTAAATTATTAATTAATAATTATTATAGTTTTTATAAAATTTAATATATATATATATATATAATTATTATAGATAGACTTAATATTTTGGGGGTATAATTATTATAGTATATATAATTCTTATAATTATTATAAATTTTATAGTTAATTTAATATATATATATATATATATATATTTATTATAATTTTTAGGAGTATAAAATTGTAAAATTAATGTATATAATTATTATAGTATTTTTTTAGGGTTATAAAATTATAAAAATAATATTCTGCTTATCGTGTATCGTGTTACCCGCGTGTATACCCGAACCAACCCGTTATTTTAACAGGTGCTTATCGGGTTACCCAATAACGACCCGATTCGTTATCGTGTCGACCCAAACACCTGTTAATTTCGTGTCGTGTCGTGTCGGGTTATCGGGTCGTGTCAGAAATTGCCAGGCCTACCCCACACTGCAGAGACCACTCGTTTTTTATTCCACACCCCACACCCCACACTGCAGAGACCACTTCGTTTTTTAATTCCACACCCCACACTGCAGAGACCACTTCGTTTTTTAATTCCACACCCCACACTGCAGAGACCACCCATTTGTCAACAGTCGAAGTCAACTCCACTCCCCCTATCCCAACCAACACGCCCGGCATTTTTCTCTCCTTTCACTTTGTTCCTCGCTCCCACAAACTTTCCCGTTCCCCCAAAAATTCCATAACCCAACACACAGACATCTACCTCTCTCTATCTCTCTCTCCTCCTTCCACCTGAAAAATCACATATACTAAGTATACATACAACAAATCTCTCTCACACTATCTTTGTAGCCGGAAAATGAGCAGCTATGGCCGCCAAACCACCTCACTTGTCCTGTATTTCAATTTCCATTTCTTCTTGTCTTTCTTCTGCTACCTTCCTGTTCCTGTGGTGTTCTCTGCACTATCCTCAAACCAAAAAACCGCCATGATCGATCTCTCCAACAGCCTCAACGCTTCTGCTGGTGGTGCTGTTTCATGGGACGTCAACAAAGAACCGAACCCATGTTCGTGGAAGGGAGTCGGGTGCAATTCCTCGACCAATTCATCAGTTATCCGGATTTCGTTGTCCGGGCATTCTATATCTTCCTCGGAGTTTCTGCCGCTCGTTTGTCGGATTGAGTCTCTGCAGGTTCTTGATGTGTCCCGCAACCGTCTGACCACAATTCCGCCTGGGTTTATCTCAGCTTGTGGAAAGCTTGGTGAGTTGAAGCTGCTCAATTTTAGCGTGAACAATTTGGTAGGTCCTCTGCCCGCTTTTGTTGGGTTTTCGGCGTTGGAGGCTCTGGACTTTGCTCGGAATAACTTGAGTGGAAACATTGACTCCGAGTTGGACGGGTTGGTCAAGCTCAGAAGCTTGAACCTTACCTTCAACCGTTTTACTGGGCCTGTTCCAACTCTTCTCGGAAAGTCTAAGGTTTTGGAGGCGCTTGAGCTTTCTATGAATATGTTTGATGGTCCTATCCCTGATGAAATTGTGGGATATCCGAATTTGACTCTCATTGATCTTAGCGTAAATCAGCTTACCGGGATTATTCCTGCTCGGATCGGAGAGCTCTCCAAGTTGGAGGTTTTGATTCTTTCGGCCAATACGTTATCCGGCGGAATCCCACAAAGCATTTCCGATATCACAAGCCTTTGGAAATTTGCAGCAAATTCTAACAATTTCAATGAGAAGATTCCTGATGGCATTACGAAGCATCTGAAAAACTTGGATCTCAGTTATAATAAATTGAGTGGGTCGATTCCATCGGAGCTCTTGTCGGCAAGGAATCTGCAGACTCTGGATTTGTCGAATAATAGATTAGAGGGACCGGTACCTGAAGTTCTGTCTCCGAGCTTGGTGAGGTTGAAACTGGGAAGCAATTTGCTTGATGGGAAGATACCTTCTGCAGCAATTGCAACACATGAAAATTTGACCTACTTGGAGATGGAAAACAATAAATTGATTGGATCAATTCCTCCTGAAGTGGGCGATTGCCGGAAATTGGCGCTGCTGAATTTGGCTCAGAATCGACTGTCTGGGGCTTTGCCGCCAAATTTGGGTAACCTTGGCAGTCTTGAGGTCTTGAGACTTCAATCGAACCATTTGAGTGGGGGAATTCCAATTCAAATTACTCAACCACCCAAGTTGTCCGTTCTGAATATCAGCTGGAATTCTCTCAACGGCTCAATACCACCTTCAGTTTCACAAATGCAGAGTCTTGTTAACATGAACTTACAAGGCAACAAGCTCAGCGGTTCCATTCCCGTCGGTATTGCCTCCATGAATTCTCTGATGGAACTCCAACTTGGACAAAATCAATTAAGTGGTGACATTCCAAGAATGCCGGCGAATTTACAAATTGCTTTGAATCTCAGCAGCAATCTTTTTCAAGGACATATTCCGGAAACTCTTTCGAGGCTCAGTGGACTAGAAATTCTGGATCTCTCAAATAACAATTTCTCAGGTAAGATACCTGATTTTTTTACTACATTGGGAGCCTTGACGCAGTTGTCACTTTCTAACAATGAGCTCTCTGGAGAAATTCCGAAGTTCCCTTCTTGGGTCATGGTCGACGCACATGGGAACAAGGGTTTGATTAACAGAACAACAATAAACACTCCACCCCAATTGGAGAAGAAGAAAAAATCATATGCAGTGACAATTGTTCTTGCCCTTGTAGGAGCTGTGGTCGCTTTTGGAGCGATCACCATTGTTGCCAGAGGAAGAACTTGCTGTTCCTGAGGTCGTCCAGGGCAATCTCTTAACTGCAAATGGTATTCATAGATCAAACATCCATTTCACTAAAGCGATGGAAGTAGTTTCCGACCAGTCAAACGTTGTGCTGAAGACTAGGTTTTCAACTTACTACAAAGCCATCATGCCGTCTGGAGCAAGCTACTTTGTCAAGAAGCTCAACTGGAGTGACAAGATATTCCAACTGGGCAGCCATGATAGGTTTGCCAGGGATTTAGAGGTCTTTGGGTAACTAAGCAATTCCAATGTCATAAATCCTCTGGCCTATGTCTTGACTGGTGACAGTGCTTATCTGTTCTATGAATTTGCTCCAAAAGGAACCCTTTTTGATGCTCTTCGTGGTATCTCGGGTGATGACATGGATTGGGGGAGCCGATAAAGTATTGCAGTTGGAGTAGCACAGGGTCTTTCTTTTCTTCATGGGTGCACTCCAAGTCCAATACTCCTCCTTGACTTGTCAAGCAAAAGCATTTTGCTCAAGTCCCTCAAGGAGCCTTTGATTGCAGAAGCTGAGCTCTTGAAGGTGATCGATCCTTCAAAGAGCACTGGAAGCCTTTCTACTATTGCTGGTTCTGTTGGCTACGTTCCTCCAGGTAAGCAGTTCTGTGATTTCTTCACCTTACAGTAACATAATATTGTTTCTCAGAGTCATCCCCGACTTGTCAGTATACCGCTTATTTAAGTAACTTGCTGGATTTGGAAGTAACTGTGTCTGAATATTTGTCTCTGTTCTGTGGTAACAGAGTATGCATACACTATGGTTGTAACAATGGCCGGGAATATCTTCAGCTTTGGGGTCGTTCTGCTGTAGTTGCTGACGGGAAAGCCAGCAGTTAGTGAGGGGATTGAGTTGGCCAAGCGGGTCTTGAGTAACTCAGCGCAGCAAGATAAAAGGGATCACATTCTTGATTACAGTATCAGCAGAACATCAACTGCTGTCCGAAGCCAGACGCTTGCGGTCCTGAAAATTGCTCTCGCTTGTGTTAGTGTATCATCCGAAGCAAGGCCAAGAATGAAGAGTGTGCTTAGGATGCTCCTCAATGCAACATAAAGCAACGCGGCATGATTCAACGTCGTATATGAATACAAGTTCCATGCATAAGATGGGATGAACCTGAAGCTTTGGTCAGTTCCTACAACTAGAATATCAGTCGTTCGATGTAGTTAAAAGCTTATCTTTCCATAGAATATATGGCAACTATAGGAAGTAATGTATCATGTAGAAAATTTATAAACTGAATGCGAATATATAAACAATGCGCTGCTTGTACCACTGCTTCATGTTCGTTGAAAATAGGCACGATACATACGAAGTCCTAAAAACATTTTGCGAGTTGGATTTCGGTAGCAATACGTTTGTATCATGGATACGCTTGTTAAGTTACAAATACATACTACTACAACCTCAATAACCAGTTTCATGCAATAGCCAACTCTAAAAACCGGAAAACGACTGAGAAAAAACAACGGCCGCCTCGCTAAAACTTTGCAATGAAAACTTGGTATGATAAAAACCTGGTCGAAGCAACGTGGCTAAAACTTTGCAATGAAAACTTGGTATGATAAAAACCTGGTCGAAGCAAAAAGAGCACGGTGCGCTTATGTTCAGTGTAGCATATTGTCGAAGACTCACCCTATTGAATAACTCTTTGGTGACTAACACTCCAACATGGTCGAAAACACAATTGAAAATATCAACAAGACAATCTTACCACGGCAGCAAAAGCTCGTACAAGCTTTGCAACTGTGTAATGTCTATCAAATGAAATCCAATTAAATGAGTAGATTTGTGCGCCCTGTTGGATAAAACCCTTTCCGGTACATCACTTCTACCCATCTCCTTGCTTCAGATGTCCTCCCATGTCTAAGAAAACCTTCTACTAAGGCGTCGTAAGTCCATCGATTAGGCTCATAACCTTTTTGGCACATCTTTTCGAACAAAGCACAAGCGTGCTCCATGTTGCTTTGGCTTAGTCTTCTAATCAACAAATTGTGTGTGAACACGTCTAGCGGAAAGCACATTTCAATAGCTTCTTCCAAATTCCCAATATCTCGGCTCACCTTAATCTGACCAGAAAACGCACCAATGAGCAGACCAAGCATTGAACGATCAGACATCTCATTCCGCTCCTCTCTCAGCCGTACCCAAGACTTGTAGAGCTCTGGAGTTTTCAGAGATTGCAACAGAAGTATGTTACCGGTAAAGGATGTAATATGGCGGCCGACTTTCTCCAAGTCATTTATGAGATTTACTGCCATATCAAATTCTTTATTCTGGCACAGCAACTGTATCAGAAACTCGTAACAGTCATCGCTTGGAACCACTCCCTTCTCTTTCATTTCCATCAAGAAGTTAACTGCAATTTCCGCCTTTTTGGCTTTGCATAGACCAACGATCAGGGTGCTGTATAGCCTTCTCCCCATCACCTTTCTCCTCTGGTGCAGATCATTGAAGAAGTTCAATGCATCCGAAATTCGTTGACTCTTCAAATAACTCTGCAACATAAGAACATCGGATCTCACATTGGGATGAATCCCACTCCGCTCCATCATCTCAAATACTTGTCTAGCCAGATCAGGCCTTTTGGCATGCCCAGCTCCGTAGATGAAAAAGTTGTATATATCACGGCTGGGTTCCCTACAAGACAACTGCATCTCCAACAAAGTAAAAAATTGCTTATCTGGATTTTCCATATCACAGAGACAGCAAATTACATCTTTGAACAGTTTACGAATTGGTAAGTGACCCTTTTCTTGCATTTCAATCAGAAGCCTGGCAGCAATATCCCCCTTGCTAGACCTGTTAAAACCATTTATCAAGCTAAAATATGTCTTCTTTGTAGAAACCTTATTAATTCTGTTGAGTTCCGCATGTACCAAATAACCGTCTTCTACCCTCTCAGTACTGCAAAGAGTTGTAATGAACTTATCAAATGTATAGTCACTTGGCATAAAGTTTCGTTCTAGGGCGAAAATAACCAACTCTTTCATCTTCTCGAGCTTTCCCTCTCTGCACAATGAGTCTGCCAGAATAGAAAATGTTTTCCTACCTGTAAAATACCCTTGTTCCATAGAATGCTTCAACACTCGATAGGCTTCGTCAATGCTACCATCCCCACAGAAAACATTGATCAAATAGTTGTAAACCATACTATTAGGCGTGAGCCCAAACTCGGATCTTGAATTATACAACTCAAGTGCGACATCCACCATCCCCGCTTTGCAGAAGAAGCACAAGGCAACATTCATGGTGATCTTATCAGGGGAAATCTTACCCTCCTTCATCTCCATCAACAAATCACAAACCTCCTCGAGGCGATCCTCCTTCAAAAGCCTACATATCAAAGTATTGTACCTAAAAGCATCAGGTACATACCCTTCCAACGACTTCTTGTTCTGCAAAAACTCCAATGCTCCATCCAACCTCCCAGCCTGAACAAGATCACGCATCCACACACTATAAACACTCTCCATGAAAGCCACCCCAAGGTCCTGAAACTCCTCGACTAATTGGCCAGCATGCTGGAACTTCTTCTGCTTACAAAGGGCGTCCACAAGGACACTGACGGCATGGCCAGTGACCGGCTTGCCGTCAGACACCAATTGACGCAAATAGGCTTCAGCTTGATCGAGCAACTTCTGCTTACAGAACCACTTGAGCATGATGGAATGGGTAATTTCGTTCTCGAAACCCCTCAAAGAAATCTGCTTGGCAATGACCTGAACAGCATCAAAGCAACTCTCCTCCACTAGAGCATTCAAAAGGACATGGTAGGCAAAGGAATCGAGGTCGAGACCCTGGAAGCGCATTTTACCAAACAGTTGGAGGGCAATGTGGGGCTTGCCGGCGACGGCGTAGCCCATGACCAGAGTGTCGTGAAATCGGACGGTGTGGGCGTACCTCTGCTTGCAGTAGTTGGAGAGGAAGTCGAGCATGAGAGACATGAGCTTGGCCTTGGAAAGGATCTTGAAGATGGCGTTAAAGGTGGCGCGGGTGTGGCGGAAGCCGGGCTGGCGGCCGGCCCAATCAAAGAACTTGAGGCAGGAGAGGACATCATGGTCGTTGCTGCCGTAGCGGAGGACCTCGAGGACGAAGGCCTCCGTGAGGCGGAGACTGAGATGGGAAAGGGCCAAGTCGGCGGAGGAGTAAGGGATATTATAGCGCAAGGGGATGTCGCCGTCGCTGTTAAGGCGGCGGTCGGTGGTGGCGGCCGCGTCGCCGTCGGTAGAGGATTTGAGGATGAGGAAGATGCGATCCAATAAAGCGTCGTTGCGAGTCTGGAACCACTCTTTGAAAGAGAGGACCACGTCCCTCGCCGGAGTCATGCGGGCCATGGTTGAGAAAGCAGCGGCGGCAGGGGAACCGTTGGGGCTGAAACTGAAGGAACAACAAAAGCAATAACAACCACCGCTGATGCTGCTGCTGATGGTAGCAGCAGCGGCGGCGGCGGTGGAGAGAAGAGAATTGGCATCGAGGATGGCGGCGGAGGAGGAGCAAAGGGAGCAGTTGGTATTGGCCTTGGATTTGGCTAGATTTCTGAGTGAAATAAGCATAATTACTACTGTATTATTAATCTGTCGATATTGTCGACCGAGCTGCTGCAGCTGCCGAACCCAGCGCAGCCTCAATTGGTTTCCCTCTTCCCTCTGCCCGTTTGCCGGTCCTGGTTTAAAATATGACGGGTTTTATAAGCATTTGAAATTACCATTATGCCACTGTCTCAGAAATCCAAGCACTGCCGATTTGATGAGCTGCGGAAGTTAATAGCATAGCAACGAGTCAATGATTCTTATGTTACAAAAGAAGAGTATCTGTCGATTTCGCCCAACATTGTAAATAGTGGCGATTACCCTTAAACTTTTATAATTAGTCAATGAGTCTTTAATAATGTTTAATTTTTAAATTTATTTTTCAATTTATTTTGGTTACATGGTAAATGTTTGAAGGCAATAAAACAGGAGAATTTCAATACAAAACGGTTTTAATCTTAACATTTAACGCTAGCAAGATATACATCCAATGGTTCAAACTAGATTATGCGATATTATTCTTTCACGAGGTTATTCTTTAACGAGGCACTTTCTTACTTTGATCTACTTCTCCGAGCAGTAGAGAATAGATTTTAAAAAAAAATATAAACTGTTCCGACCATTAAAATATAATGAAGAGTAAGACATTCATGTCACTCAAATAATTTTTGGAAAGAGAGTTAGCTCAAGTTTCATAGATGATACATCCCAAGGAACATACACTCATTTGTCAGCACAAATGCACCTGTTATTCACGCATACACACGTATAAAAATAACTTACAGAAGAGGAAGATCCATCGGCAATCCAAAATAGCAATTCCCACTCCATCAAATGCAATTTCTCATTCCTATTTCCGCATGAGGGCCGCAAGATAACCTTTTCGAAGTTTTAGTAACAACTTCCTGTTAAAATCATAAAAACAAAGATTGATATGCATATATGTCAAATTATGATTCGTATTTTTTCCCCAACTGAGTTTTACAGAAACATTTACCCTAATACAGCTTGAGAATGTGCTTCTTTCAATTCCTTTAACAGCAATTCTAAAACCGAACCCAGCATCGTGTGCATTGTGCCATACAATCTCCCTTGCAATCAACATTGAAACCCAATACTCTTGAATTTCGAAGAAGGTTTCGAAGAGATTTCCCTTTATTCCCCATTCATTTTCCAATATCTGCTCATTGGTTTTCAACTCCCGTTCAAGTTCACAACCAAGAACCTCTCGAAACTTTTTTAGCAACTTACATAGGTCATCGTCGGAAAGGTTTAAACTCCGAAGATAGTCCAGTGTTTCGTTTACAATCTCAAACTTTGGTACTTCCGTCTTCCGGTTTTCACCCCAGTAAGGTGAATGAACCAGGCCAAATGCTTTTCCAAGCGTCTTCTCTCCCTCTTCAATGCTGATACCAAATGCAGATGGAGCTTCCCGGCATGTTTCCCATGCCTTCCTCTCTTCATCTTTCAAAGTCGAAATTTCAGTCTCTGCAGTTGAATGTAATACCCATTTCTTGGTAGACAAACCTGACGAGCAAGCTCCCCTGTTTCGATTTGGCAAAAAAATTAGCAATCTGGTATTTGGTGCGGTATTTATAACATCACGCTGCAGCAACGATGATCACAACGTTACGTCATATTACGAAACATCGTGGATTATCACAATATTATGTCATATTTTTCCCTCAAATGGCAAGAAATCTAATTCCTTTCCACCTTTTCCCTAAAAATTCAGTCTTTTCCGCCTTAAGAAAACTAGAAAACACACTGATTCTACCCAAAAAAGGCCTATACCATTCCAAAGAAACTACGAAAGCATAATGTCTCTTAGTAAATAAAGATGCCTGCGAAGATGATATCACCAAATCCAACATTGCTTCTCTGAAAGCAGTAAGACAACGAAGGAAAGGATGATCAGCTGCCTCTGCAGACACTGAGTTTGACAATGAGAAAAGCTGCTAGAGGATTAAACTTTACAGTACCTATCTTCTAACCTCAACGGACATAAAAGCAGATAACTTATCAACTTCAAAAACATTAAGTTACTCCAGAAGTTGAGATTACAACCAACTCGATAGGAAGAAGGGACCCAAAATCTAGCTATGTCAATCTAAGATTCAAATCGAACAAAAAAGGGAAACGAAAACTAGCTAAGACTGGTGTTTGAGACTCACAACTTCAAAACCCTTCAAGTTTCAACGGATACTGTGATTCCAACCCACTCGAAAGTAAGAGGGAGGACCCAAAAATTAGCTATGACAACTGACAAGTAAACAAAACTCAGAACCTCAAACCCATTCCGGTTTCTGTGTTGAGAGTTCAACATACAGCATCGATAATCAACGGTGTTATACAAGTAGAGTCATATGACCTAACATTTTGAAAGTTTCCATGAAATGGTACTCACAGTTGAAAAGCAAAGGCATGTTGCAAAATCATTGGTTAGCAATGGCGAAGCTAATGACCTTCCTAGCATCCCGGCACTGTCAAAAAAATACAACAACAATAAAATAAAAGGTCAATAGGGTCAGAAAAACAAAACAGCTGACATATGGTTAATCCAAAAAGTGGAACAAACAAGGGAACACAGACACCAGAGCATTTTGTTGTTGTACTTACGAAACTAGCACTTAGTTTAGTGAATTGTACATTTAGGGTTCGTTTGATAACCATTTCGTTTTTAGTCTTAAGTTTTCATTTTCTATTACTAGATATATATAGAGAAAGCGAGAAATGCACGAACAAACTACAAGACTGAAAACAAAAAACTAGAAAAGAAAACCTACTTGAAAATTGTTTTCAGTTTTTTGGTTTTTGGTTTTCGGGTTTGCATATCATTTCTTTGTGCATTTATTCCACATTCTTCCCACCACCCTTCCTCTACATTCATGCATCCTTTCGTCCCAGTATTTTCCTTTCATTGCCCTCCAACCAAAAGTGAAAACTAAAAACTAAAAATGAAACGGTTATCAAATAGACCAAGAGCATGCATCGTTACAATTTCTCACCTGTCAAAAGACGAAATTATTCCAACATTTCTCACTATGTACAATAATGTTAAGCTCGTAAAGTTAAAATCACAATGACAATCAACATTTTCCCGAATATTTACATTGACAGTGGTACTAGCTTAGTATTCTTTTCAATAACTCGAGCATGCTAAATTTACTCGGAAGAAGAAGATGAACAAACCAGAAAGGACAAGGAGGTGCCTCCTCAATTCAACTAAGCTTCTATTTAGGGAAAAGATAGAAATTAAGGTTTGGTTCTAAGGTCTGGTTCCACTTTGTATTCGAGGGATAATTACACAAATGCCTCTACGTTTGACTCAGCAAGTTGGGTATTTTACCACCTCAATCTTGGGTCGCATAACAATCGTATATCTCATCCTTAGAACATTAATATGTGCTCTTAATATTGTTTATTAACTTGATTGTCGAAGAGCTTTTGGCTCACAGGTGGCCAGGCTTGCATGTGCTCAACCATCCACGACAGTGTGCAAATTGATTTTAACAAATTCTATCATCTCCAATGGTTGAGATAAAGCTTAAAATTTAATCTTTAAACCCAATCATTGAGCTAAAATAAATCTTAGGAAAAGAAAAAAAAAAAATCTTTTTGGGTTAGATTATGCTAAGAATTAAGCGTGTCCTATGGACCCATCAAACCATCCAATGCAAGTGGGTTGTGCACGAGTGAACCGAAAGCCTCAAATCTCAATCCACCCTCCACACGTGCGCTACACGCCAAATTGAAGCAAGCGGGGCCCACGTGGATAGTGTTGTTGAAGGAAGTATGATTCTCTCCTTCTTATTCTCATCCTCTTCCCTTCCCTTCTCTTCGCATATTGTTTTTTGTTTTATTGTCCTTATAAAAAAAAAATTGAATATAAGATGTTGACGTAATTTAATCGTGACCGTTCAAATAGAAGAGAATGAAAAGGAAGAGAGATTAGGAGGAAGAGAATCCTCTTCCGTTGGCCACACCCCAACAACTTGAACTTGTTCAAAGGTTCGAATAATCTGACCGTTTGTAATCCAACAGTCAAAGATCAATTATTTTTTCTTTTTATAATCCAATGCCGGTGATCGATGCGATGAAATCTAATACTACAAAAAAGAGATTGATTCAACAGCTAAAGCAATTTAAAAAAAAATTATTTAAATCAAATTTCACTCAAGAAGAACTGTATAAATATCTCTGTATTTGTTCTAGCATCCACAAAAGTTCAAATATCGAAATTTAAATATTTTTAAATTAAATTATAGAACTTACTGAAGGTGACAATAACCTTGTGGTTCTTCTTTAGATTAAAATATAAAACAAAAACAAACCTCCTTTGTTCCCTAAACCTTGTAGTTGGACTTGCAGGACGAATCCAATTCAAAATAATAAATAATATTTGGGATAAAGAAATTAATTTTACTAGTTACATTTTTTACACACCAGAACTAAATTACGTATGTGGGTGAATCAATTCAACCAAAAATGATAGATTACAATGGATTACATCATGCCCGTGCCTTGATTACATCTGAGAACGATGCGGCTCAACTGTGTGTCCACGATCCTTCGATACATCGGCATTCATTTCCTTGAGCTGCTCAATTACGCCAAGCAGAAGATTCTTCCAACTCCACATCTTCTTCCCACCAAGTAGCACTCTGCATATTATATCACATCTCATTCAGTTAGATTTCAAGCCATTATTCTTCCTTAAAAAATCTGTTTTTGCATTCGAGTTTCTAAACAATTTGAGGGAGAAAAGAAAACCTTTACGATAAAAGAAAACGTTTAAGATAAGGAGAGCTAACCCTGTAGCCTCTACGAAGAAATTGCAGCGAGCTTCCTTGTTCCTCTTGCAGTCCCAGGACCCTCAAAAGTTCTTCTTTTGTCTAAATAGTACACAAATAATCAGCCTTAAAGCATAACAAATTATGTCTAGCAACTAACAGAAGGTGACTGATGATTGGAGGTTTAGACAGAAATATACTTCGCCCAGAGTAAAGCGTGTTGCACTCTCTGCTACGCAAGCATAAGAACCATCGGCTTGTTTTAGCATTACCTGCCAAGGCCCTGCACAAAATGAAGAAAAAAACGAGACAAATACCCATTGAGAAAACCAGAGGATTTTCAGAAAAATAAAGTGCCAACAATATCATGGTTAACAACACAAACAAGCTGATTGTATAGCAGAACCTTCCTGGATAAAGAAACATTGACAAGCGCATTGATATTGAAAAACATAAAATCAATATCAAACTAAGTTCTTACCCATACCAACTGATGAGGAGATAATTTTAATAACAGTTGTAAAGAAATTACAAAGGGACAACCAGACACTTAAGATTAAGATTTTATAAACCTCCAGTGAGAATCACATAGCACATAGCTGATTTCGCCTTGTTTTTCAAAACAGAAAAATGGAAGTGTTGTATATACTAACTTCTAAAACGTACAAAAAAGGATATCAGAGAACAACGATTATATTGATAAATAAAATGTTACTAGCAAGATGAATATTTGTCCCTCGCCACCGCAATAATAACACATCCAAGTACAAACGTTAATTACAAGTAAAATCAAGACTACCCCATACCAAGAAGAATAACACTAAGTGTTAGAACAAAGATGCACGCAGACTCTGCAAGTAGTACAAATGGTCCCAAAATAATCAAATTCTAGACTGTTGGAAACAAACAAGAATAAATATTTCTTGACGTGCTTATAACGGGTTAGGTTTGTGATCACGATTTGCAAACATGAACAATACATTCTTCATCAAATCCAAACAGGCATTAATGTTGAGAAACCATTGTCACATGGATAATAGGCCTTGCGTAAATTAGCATAACTTAAAATAACTTCTGACTATTCTTTAATCATTCCTCCGAGAACTTATTGTCTAATCTAAACAATCCAAGTAATGTGCTCCAATTTATGTGAGAAGTTAGATTATAAACCTTAATGAAAGTGATCGAGGATAGGATGAGGAATAGACAACAATCAGGTGGTAAAATTTGTTAAAAAGAAAACATATTACATACCAGGGTATTGGCGAAATAGTGCTCCACTGTAATTCACTATATAAGGCGCTACTGCTACTGTCTTGAGAGTTAGCAAATAAATGGTTACCAAAAATTTATGTTAAGAAAAAAGATTATGAAACGCAAATTAATTGTATACCTTTGAGTAATCTCTTATTCGGATATAGAACACTGGTGTAAATTGAGAAAGAAAGCGATAGTGCAAATCTTTGGTTGGAAAGCCAAAAAGGCCCAAGTCAGCACTGCATAATTAACAAATTCTAATGTAAGATGAAAAGTATATTTCTAAAATAGCAAAATCAGATTTCAATGGATGGTCAATTAGGATTACCGCAATGTGTCTAGTTCAAGATTAAATAGAAGTGTTGGGGTTGACATGGCAAATGTTTCCTGCAAATCCCAAAGAGTTAAAATGAGGCAGCAGCAGCAGCAATAATACTTCACACAATAATTGACGGATTCGATAACACCAGCCACACAATTCTCATGATTTAAAATGTGAAACTGTCAACTTCAGAACGCAGATACTTCAAGCTTATAACAAGATGATGACACCTTTAGACTCGATGACAGAATTGGAATAAGATTATGTAGCTGGGAAACGGCATATATACTACACCTTCACATTTTAAGATGCCCAATAAATCAAATTATCAATTCAGTTGTACATGGAATTTAGTAAATACGTAAAATAAGTGCACTTGTGAGTTGAACTTGAAATATGCATAAGACTACATGTTCCTAAAACCACAGGCCTCGGATCCAGTAATAGAGGGAGTACATATTTGATAGATCACTAAATAACCAGTGCTAGCACATTCAATTTCTTGACCTCTGTAATTTTCAAGTTCATAATCTTGAAATGGCTTAGCAGAGTTTTGTGAGTCAGTTTCTAGATTTTCTAGATTAAACAACTGTTTTTTTCGATTTCAAAAGATAAATCTGCAGCACTAGAAAGATTACTCGTATCAAACTAATCTTACCGAAATATATTGACTGGGAAATATCAATTAATATAACTAGCATGCAAAAGTTATGACACCATAAGAAACCCTTAAAAGTTTTCAAGTCCAAAACCATAGTTGATACTTATAGAAGTATACAATCATCAAACATAAAACTCATATATATAAAATAAAATTTAATGGTAGGAACGAGCATTCATCTATCAAATGATATTGAAATCATCATTGCAAGTCACATTCAAAATGGTTGAGAGAACTAACAAAGAGGAGACCATACCACATACTTCTCAATTGGAGCAAGCTCACGAGTGCTACAATTTATGAATATATAAAGAGAGGGAGGCTGACTGGATGCCCAGCGACCTGCAATTGTAAGATATAACATAGCGATGAAAACTAGTACTCCACGGATAAAATGGATCATACGTTGAACAAAAAGAAAGCAATCAAATTAGCATGAAAATCATAAGTTGAGATGAAATTAACAAGAGGAACACAAGCATTCATTTGAAGAAATAAACAAGCAAGCATTTCAGTCCTATATTATAAATTAATAACCAACCTTCATTTTCATCTTCAAAGTCAAAATCAAGTGTGTCCCTTATAGATTGGAAGAACTTGGTGACTGGACCACTGGGGACATCATCCAGGGAACCTATTGTTATATCATCGAGCTGAAAGGAAATAATCAAAATGAAAACAACGATTCAGAGAGCTTAATGTTGAACGGTAATCTACTTACTCAAGAGCCCTTTTGGCAATATTTCACCTTTTCTTATGATTGAAAATTTATTCTCAATCACTAAATCAATTCTGAATTCGTGGGGTGAGGAGATCTGATGCATTTAAATTACACAAAGAAATTAGAGAATAGTAAAATTCTGAGTTATGTTTTTACTGAGTCGATAGCCGTTTTGAACTGCTCAGAGGCCCTGCGCTTTTCTGGCTTATCAGGAAACACCTGAAGATAGAAATTTTTTAGCATACTCTTCAAATTGACAAAATAAAATGTCCATGTGAAACGAAGATTCTTCTTACAATGCAAGCTCTTGTTTCCCTTATTTCTTTGAGCTTCCTTACAACAGCCAAGACAAGTTGTACGTTTGCATCAATGAATTCATCTGAAGACCCCTTTTACATATTTAGGAAGTTGAGAAAATTATGTCTCATGTATTCAGATTGCTATGTGTCATCAAGAAGCTATATCACTGTAATTGATAAGATGAAATCAAAGAACAATGATTTGGGGCTAAAGTACAGCATTTTTTTCTTTGGGGTTGGGGCTTAAGTGTAGCATAACTTTAAAGTTTAAGTAGTGAGAAGAAAAACAGAACACAAAAAACAAGTAACACTGATGACTACATAGAGTGGAAACAGTATGCATCTTATAACGAACTACTGGAAAGTGAACAGAATCTTTAATAAACAATAGCATGTGGCCATGCTGGGTCATCCTAGTAATCTAATAACTTGGTAGCAAAAAGAGATACCTTATAAGAGATATGTCGCTAGGCAGGGGACTGGAGGCACAAGCTCGAAAATATAAGGTACATGAAAAAGAATAAGTATTAGAAGGGCAAAAATATTATATCCAGTCAAGCTTCTAAACAATAAGAAACATACCAAAATGCTCATCCAAGTGGAAAGACAGTTTGGAATCCCAAAGAAAAGAATGAACTCACATTATCTAGTAGTCTCTAAACTGCATAACATTCTTTTAACAAACTTCCATAAATATTCTACATTATTATTAGCATTTCCAAGTTAATGTGCCCTTTATCATGCACTGTCTTAACCAAGTTTTTATTTCGTCAAGTAAGTTTCCCGAAGCCTTGTTCTACTTCTTTGTTGCCCCATTACAAGAAATTTATAACAAAAGATAAAGCGAATCAGTCCAAATGCACCGAAAGAGCATGCTCACAAATGAACATTCTAAACTGGGTTTTACTAAAACCATTCCAAGCTAGATTAACCAAATGGGCACCAAGAAACCACTCTGAAAATTACCAATTTCCCATGAAACAAACAAAAGTTAGAAACTTCAAAATCTTCCATAACTTGTCCTGCAATTTCTCTCAAAACTCAGAAATTCTGGTCGAAATAAACGTACAAAGAGCAAGAGGACTTACGGGAAATCAATCTCCAAGCGGGTCTTCCCGTCTTCGAGAGCATAAGCAAGCGATCTTGCAGCATCAGTAACAAGAACTTCATAGGACTTTGGCTTGTAGACTGCAATTCCAGACGTTGGATCGGCGCTCGAAGCCGAAGAGGCCTTATCGACGCACTTGATGCTTCTGCTATTCGATGGAGATTTCGGAAGCGCTGGAGAAGTTGAGAAGGCGGAGAGGGTGGTGGCAGTCCTGGGTAAGGAAGAGAGAGAAGTGTGAGAGAGAATTGAGTGGTGAGTTGGGCAATAAGGAGAGAGAATGCGAGGTGTTGATGACAAGGCCATGGCCATGGCCATCTCAGTGTTTGGGGGATTTTGGTGTGCGGGAGAGAGGTGGAGGGAAAAGAAACTGAAATGGATTATTAGACGAATGATGATAAGGAATTTGAAGGACTCTGCTCTTGCTCCCGCTGGGTCCTCACAGGTTAAATTTGATTTTGACAATTATTAGATATATTTTTATACCACCCATTATTTTGACAATCATTGGTTTTCGTCTTATCGTGTTGTAGGGAAAGGAATTGGCTTAGCTTTATAATAATATAGATTAAATTTATTTTCAATGAGAATCGAATTTAAGATATTTTATTTATAAATAAAAAAGATATTAATAGATCGTAATATTATAACATGTTTTGTTGTATTAATAAAGAAAAAAATTATATTCACGCTCACAATTTGTTGTATTAATCGAATTTAAAAATTATTTTTGATAAGAATCGAACTTAATTTCATCAAAAACACTTTCGGTAAAAACACCAGGTAGATTGGAGGAGATTTCAATTTCATCTGCTCACAATTTAACAGTTTACATTGCTATTGTGCTGTTATAACCCTCTTTTTAGTATTCATGCTCTTCCTTCAGATTCTTCCCAAACAGAAAAAATAAAAAAAGCAGAGAGTAGTCAAATCATATATAATTTGTGGGAGGACTCCCCAGCGTAGAGAGAGGGGACTGAAATTAATGATGCAATAATGGCTCAGCAGAGGCAGTCAGGGCTGGAGCGGTTGGGATTACGCGGCCACGATCCCCACCATTCCAACGGCGGAGGACTACCGGATCACCTCGCCGTAGGGATCCGCTCCGCTCCCCACAAGCCCGTTCGGACCCGCCGATCGGCTCGATCCGACAAAGGCCCACTTAGAATCTCCTTTGTCGCCGTCGTCCTCGTTCTCTCTCTAGTCCTCGTTATCACTCTTCTCGCCTACTATTACCTCTCCCGCAGCAGCGGAGGTATGTATGTTTTGCTTTTGCTTGTCAATTTTCTACAATAACTTTCTGTTTGGTTTCCGGGAAAATGGAAGGGAAAAGAGAGTTAGTAGTTAGTTTGATAGTTGTCACTTTGCATGACTGGTGGAGACTGCCTTTGTTTGGCTGCTGAGAAAATATAGAAACAATGATCACATTCTAGTTTTCTTATTTGATTTCGCATTTCTGTTTCGGAGAGAACTAATTGTTTCTCCAATAAAAGATCTGTGTTACGGTTCATTTGAAGTTTTGATTATGGAAGCTGCAGATTTGAGCTAAGCATATGATCATGTTTTGTTAAACAGAAAGAGCGAAACATTCGGAGAAAAAGAGCTTGTCACTATGTTTCACTTGCATTCTGAGTATTTAATGTGCTGGTTTGATTGTCGATAATATACAGGAAATGAATCAACCCAATTAATTGTTTAATTTCCTTTCCATGGTTGTTGAAGAAATGTTACAAATTACGCCTTCACCTTTTTGCTATGATTAATTCAACAGTATGGGGTTATGGAATTATATGGATTCTAGCTTAGCATCAAGTGATTGCTTTTTCGTGTTGGTGCAGAAATAAATAGTTATGCTGAGGAAGACAGCTTGAAGAATGATCCTGACTTTCTCACAAACGTGACACGGACGGAGACTTCTAAGGTCCTTAGGTTTGGAAAGGGTTCGGTAGTTCATGGCCGAGATTCTAGGTATTGGGATAAAGATGATAGGAGAAGGGATGAAGATTATAACGGCGATGAGGTGGAGCATAGTAGTGCAGGTGTTAGGGATGAATCCACATATAAGGGTGATGTTCCTGTGAGTGTTAAAAGCAGTGACAAGAAGTCCTCAAATGACTACTTAACTAAAAGTTACAATAGGAAAGGGGGATTGTACAACGAAGCTGGGCGCAATGAGTTGAAAGTTTATGAAGCAGAGTATGAGGCCTCTCTGAAGAACATCCAACGGTATAAGGATGAAGATTTGGATAAGCAAAAGGATGAAGATTTGGATAAGCAAAAGGATAAAGATTTGGCTAAGCAAAAGGATGTAATTGATGTTGATGACGAGTATGATGACGGGATTGATTTTCATGAAACTCACTTGGATGAATATGATGGTACAAGACATCAGAATGATGACCATTTTGGTGAAGAAAAATCACATGATGAAGATGGTAGAGATGTTCCTGATGTTGGAATTAATGATCAAAACGTTCCTGAGAAGGTTGATAAAATCTCCGCCAATTCATTTGAAAATGACTCTGCTCAGCACTCTGGAAACCTGGATGAAGTTAGCACAAAATCCAGGCATGTGAGTGTAATTTCTGGTCAATCTTCAAGAAAGTCACGGTCCGGTACGAAAAAGAAAGCTAAGCGCCGCAAATACTCTGGTAAATTATCTGTTTCTTCTTGTAGATTGGTGTGTGCGAACCATGTTTAATTACATTTATCTTTCATTTATTGATATTGGATTCATCTTGCACTAGTGAAATGCATCTTGGCTTCTTCTTCTGGATCTAGAATTCATTTGCACATTTGGTCTCATGCTCTTTGCATGCTATTGATTGTAAATTAGAATCTCTATGAAAATCAGAGAAGTACTCCTTAGTACAGACAAAACAGTTAGATCTTATTTCAAATCATAGAAGTGCTACTGAGTGCAGACAGAACAGTTAATTCTTTTTGCAGCTGAGTAACTGCATAATTTCAGTATACTGGTATAATATGGAAGTGACTTTTCACCTACTCCCCATACTATACAACAATATCAAAGCCTTATCCCACTAAGTGGGGTCGGCTGTACGAATCCTAGAACGCCACTGCGCTCGGTTTTGCACCAAGTCTTCCGTTAGCTTCAAGTACTCCATGTCTTTTCTTAAAGTCTCTTTCCATTTCTTCTTAGGTCTTCGTAGGTCTTCCTCTACCCCTTTTTCCTTGATCCTCAGTCTCGTAATCGCATTTTCTAACTGGAGCATCTGTAGGTCTTCGTTTCACATGTCTAAACCACCTTAGCCGATTTTTTTTCATCTTATCTTCAATTGCGGCCACTCCTACTTGACATCGAACATCCTTATACTTGATTTTTTTTTCCTTTCTTGTGTGCCCACATATCCAACAAAGCATTCTCATCTCGTCAACACTTATTTTTTGCACGTGTTGATGCTTGACCGCCCAACATTTTGTACCATAAAGCATTGTTGGCCTTATTGTCATCCTATAAAATTTTCCCTTGTGCTTTAGTAGCATAGACGGTCGCACAACACACCTGATGCATTCGTCCACTTCATCCATCTAGCTTGTATTCTACGGTTGAGATCTCCATTGAATTCTCCGTTCTTTTGCAAGATAAATCTAAGTTAATGAAAGCGTTCACTCTTTGGTACTTCTCGATCTCCAATCCTCACCCTTATTTCATTTAGAACCCCATTCCCACTAAACTTGCACTCTATATACTCTGTTGTTGACCTACTTAGGTGAGGACCTTTAGATTCCAACACTTCCCACCAAAGGCTAAGCTTCGCATTTACTCCCTCCTGTATTTCATCTACCGGCATTGTATCATCTCCAAAAAGCATACACTAAGGGATATCATCTTGAATATGTCCATTAACTCATCTATTAACAATGCAAAAAGTTAAGGACTTAAAGTTGAGCCAATGAACCCTATGGTTATGGGAAAGCTTTCAGTTCGTCTTTCATGAGTTCTTACTGCAATCATTGCTCCATCATACATATCCTTTATTACTTGGATATATGCTACTTGTACCCTTCATCTCTAGAATCCTCCAAAGAATTTCGTTTGGACCCTACCATACGCTTTTTTCAAATCTATAAAGGCCATGTGCAAATCTTTAATCCTTATGTGTATCTCTATGTCGTTTCATCAATCTCCATAAGGGATAGATTGCCTCCATAGTTGAGCGCCCTGGCATGAATGCGAATTGATTGTTTGAGACCCTTGTCTCTTGCCACAGTCTATGCTCAATTACTTTCTCCTCCCAAAGCTTCATTGTATGACTCATTAACTTAATACTTCTATAGTTCATTTATGTCACCCTAATTCTTGTAAATAGACACCAAAGTGCTTTTTCGCCACTCATTTGATATTCTTCGTTTTCAAAATCTTAAAAGGTTTGTGAGCCATGCTATACCGGTCTCTCCAAAGACCTTCCACACTTTGATCAGTATACCTTCGGGACCCACTACTTTTCTATGCTTCATCTTTTTCAAAGCTACAACCACTTTTTTTTTCCTAGTAATTTCTACACTCCCCGTACTATATGTCCTTAATTTATTTCGATTACTATGAAAAAGGAAAAGGAAGCCGCTAGATTACTACAGCGTTCTCAAGTTGTTGGTAGTCCTATAAAATCATGACCGTAGTGTTGAGTCCTTAAACTTCATTAACCTCAAGGGAACCGATCATGGTTTTGCTTAGTTAATTTTTACGGTTCTGTATCAATACATTTTTGGCTTCGCAAATTTGGCATGTCTTAAACTTATACGTATTGCCAGTCCTACATGCACTAGGTGGCACTGGAAGAACAAAACTTGAGCTTGGCAATGATTGTTTGATGCTGCTCCTTATGTATAAGAACTGGTTCTGTGAATCATGATATTTTCTTTTGCATGTTCTCTTGGAGTAACAAATTTCAGGTGTTTTATTTATAATGTGAGATATTTCTATAGATGTAGAAAGTGGGGTTGTTTGGAGTAAATGCTGTGAATTAGACCATGACTGGTTGGAAGAGCCATTATACCTGTTTTTTTCTGGCTTGGGTTTTGAAGGATTGTTTTATGCATATAGTTGAATGCGTCTTCATGACAGGAGTTGTCCTTCGATCTAGCAACTTTAGGGGATGCTCCTTGTTGCTGCTGTTGTGTTTTTGACACGTCATAATGAAATTCTTCAGGTTCCTCTTGTGAGATGAAGTTTTTAAACTCTAGTGCAATGCTTATAGAGCCTTTAGAAAGTCGAAAGTTTGCAAGATTCAGCTTGCAGTATACTGAAGTAGAGGACAAGACTGAAGGAGAAGAGCAATGGGAACCGAGATTTGCGGGACATCAGTCTTTGGAAGAACGGGAAAATTCCTTTATGGCACGTGATCAAAACATAAAGTGCGGCTTTGTTAAAGCTCCTCAAGGATCCCCAAGCACTGGATTTGATTTGGCAGAAGATGACACAAATTACATCAGCAGATGCCACATCGCTGTTAGCTCTTGTATCTTTGGAAATTCAGATCGCTTGAGGACACCTTACGATAAAATGGTAAGGAGGTTCATTTTTTATGGGGGGAACAATTTTTTACTGTTCTCTTAAGGATGTGATTGCATTTGTTTGATGTTCTCCAGTTTTCATATCATCTTTCTTGTCAAGAAAAAAATAAAAAATAAAAAATATGTTTCATATCGTCTTTGTCAAGCATTGGGCTTTTAGCATCCATTGACACAGGAGTAAATTGAAGTTTTACGCCATGACATGTTAAGCTGGGTTTAATGAATGAAAACTAAAGGGAATATGGACTATTACTCATGTCATATGTAAGTGAAATATGGAACTATAACTCATAGGATTAACAGTAGACTTTATACCTTTTACACCATCTCATGCCTTTTGCTTCTTGTCATAACTTTTACAATAACTTTTACACCTACCAATAAATAGCAATGTTTCGGGCCCTTCTCTTATTACATGGTTGTTCAACTCTCACATGATAGAGCAAGTCCAGTGCATTTCTAGTGAGAAAAAAAAATTCAATTACAAATCTCCAAGGCTTGTGTTGTTCACATACTGAACTTGTGGAATATAGTGTCTGCTGTGTACCGTGATTAGAGTGGAACATGGACCTTTTTATGATCTAAACTTGCAACACTCTTTTAAGTTGAAATTCAATGATGTGCAATGTAGACCAACACATCAAATGTAACTTTGGGATTGAGCTTGATTCACTATTTGGGATAATCTCGGACATTCTTCACTTCATCAGGTCCACTTTATGCTCAGTAGGATTTTATTTTCCCATATTTCAGAGTTGTGATTTTTCTTGTCCCATGTTCTGGTTAAATCACACATTTGTTTATATGATTCTAATACTTGCGCTGGTCTTCTTTAATGGTCTCATACCATCCACTGGAAATTTCCAATAACAATGCAATTTTTAGTTTGTTAATTATTTTTATCTTTATTCAGTTTAAAAAAAAAAGAAAAAAGAAGGGAAGATTCTTTGATTTAGGCATAAAGTTGCAATAAACGGCATAGCCAACAAAGGGGAAAAGAAATACAGAGTAAAAAAGAATGGTGACCCAAGCGAAGTTCTCTTGATTTCAGGTCTCTCGTTTGTCAAGGAAGAATGTTTGTTTTGTTATGTTCATTGATGAAGTTACTTTGCAAACCCTGACTGCTGAAGGGCGAACACCAGATAGGATGGGTTTTATTGGTTTATGGAAGATTGTGGTGGTGAAGAACCTACCATACACTGATATGCGGCGAGTGGGAAAGATACCAAAACTTTTGCCTCATCGCCTTTTTCCTTCTGCAAGGTGAGACTTTGACTACTAAAATGTACTAATTGTCATGTTGTAGGTGGTTAGTTATATTTAGTAGCTGCCTTTAAAGGTTGTAAAAAAATGCTAACTTTTGTGTGTATGCATGTTAGTTGTGTAGATTATGTTGTGCGTGTGCATCTGTGTGTCCATTGTAGTTATGAAAAACAGTTATTAAATGTGAGTCATTACTCAAATATTCTGCTCTCAGTAATCAAGTCTTACCGAAAATGATTCACATCTTGAAGAAAACTAGGAAGTGTGACATTAAGCCAACAACTGAGGAGCGATGTTCAAAGAATATAAGCAGCTGCATATTACTACAATAGGACTTGTGCTTTTGTACGCTTTGCTTGTTGGATTTGTTCATTTGGTGGGTGGTGTTTTTCCTTAGCTCGTCTAATGCCCTTCCATAAATTTTCAGGTATTCAATCTGGTTGGACAGTAAATTGCGCCTCCAACTTGACCCCTTAGTCATATTGGAATACTTTCTGTGGCGAAAAGGTCATGAGTATGCAATTTCCAATCACTACGACCGACACTGTGTATGGGAAGAGGTTGCACAGAATAAGAGATTGAATAAGTATAACCATACTGTCATAGATCAACAATTTACATTCTACCAGGCTGATGGCCTAACAAGATTTAATGCCTCGGATCCCAACAGGCTTCTTTCCAGCAGTATGATTTTATTAAATGAGAAAAAGAGCGTGTTTCATTATAATATTTTGACTGCAATGCACTTGCTTGTACCAATCCATGACATAATTTGTTTTATCACATCTGCAGATGTACCAGAAGGGTCTTTTATCATCCGGGCGCACACTCCAATGTCAAACTTATTTTCCTGTCTATGGTTCAATGAGGTTGAGCGTTTTACCCCTCGTGATCAGCTAAGTTTTGCATTATACATACCAGAAGTTAACAAGGATGAATCCGGGAAAGCCTTTTCATCTTAACATGTTCAAGGTATGATTGGTTATAGCCAAACTGAATATAAACTAAGTGAATAATTTCGATTTGATTCAATTACTGTAAAATTACCTCTCCTCACCACAACCGACATGAGGTGAATAGTAAGAATAACGGTGCTTGGATGCCTTATGGATAAGGACTAAGAAGTTATTCTCCTCACAAGCTTATGTGGGTAAATCCCAATTCACGCATCAATCTTGTGAGGAGGAATACTCCTTATGCATAAGAAGCCAAGCATTTTTCTCTTACGAATAGAAAAAAGGGGCGTGGATTGGATATAAATTTCTGCTTCTCTTCTGTCAATATTGCAGGATTGCGAGAGGAGAGCCATAGCTAAGTTGTTTCGCCACAGGTCAGAAGAGAAGAGGAGTATTCGGAAAAAAGCAACAGAGTAGAGTTTCTTTGGCTTTTCTGCAACTGCTTTATACAAATGGTGTTTGGCCACGCTCCACTGTGTAGAAGTGCCGACTGACTACACGGTACACAGAAATTTTGCACTTTCAGTGTGAGAAGACTATAATGATGATTAAATTCTCTTTTTCCAGAGAGTTCTTGGAGGTGAAGTAAGCGTTGCTGCGGCTGCTTTTGCTGCTGATTCCACTCTTTCGAAAAGAAACATAACCCTGCATGCAAGCTACATTGGCTTCTTGGTTGTATTCCTCTCATTTTTTGATTCGTTGCTCCCTATCTGGATTCTGGAGGCAAGTGAAGTAGCGATACGCTTACGGCAACCGACACTGTATCCAAATCATAGGTCGATTCATGCATTTTACACCAGATGGATATTTTTCGGTCTCGTTGTTTTTGTAATTGCTCATTCAAGCATGTACCATATGCGTATATTCTTTTAGGCAATACAATTCATTTCTCTGAATTGACCTTGCTGAGCCACTTTGCCCTCACTTTTTACTTTAAAACCCGTATTTCGGTTTAATTTGGGAAATACTGATTCAGTTCGATCTTCGTCAAGTTGAAGCTCCCTCTACCTTTCGGTTTAAAAGGCTATGGTGGACAGAACTGTTTTCCCCTTTGCACAAAATTATCCAAAATATTTTCTTTCATGGTCAGTAATTTCATGAGAATACAAGGGTCTGTTTGGTATCATATTTGAAAAATTTTGTCATTTCTCAAAACATTTCTTGAAAACAATTTTATTTAAAAAAACTTGATTGATTTGCGATTTAAAATTTTTAAATCTTACAACTTAAATTAGACAAAGAAATCTAAAAGAGAGGGTTGTAGGAGAGGGAGAAAGAGGAGAGAGGAGGAAAGAAAGTAAGTGATGATTGAAGGAAAGAGGAAGAAGAGAGGATCGGACGAGATAGAGAGGGAGAAATAATCGAGAGAATGAAGAGAGCGGATTGAAGGAGAGACGAAAAGGGTAAATAACAAAAAACAGGAAAGAGAAAGAATAAAAGAAAGGGAGATAGATTTGGAGTGAGGGGAGGAGGGAGAGAAAAGAAAGGAGTGGGTTCAAATTTAAAAACTCTAAAAACTCACTTTTTATATTTTTAGAGAATAGATTATATTTTTGAGTTAGTCTTAAGTTTAGTTTTTGAAAATAGTTCTATCAAATAAGTTTTTAAGGCCTAAAACTTGAAAATTGTTTTGAATTTAAAAAGTTGGATTCAAGTAGAGTACCAAACAGGCTCTAAAGATTTTTGGATAAAAGACCTCAAGAATTTGAAATTTAAGCTTCACTGTGCAACTATTCAACAACTGCTACAGCTTCAGAATATGTGGCTGCAAAGCTGTACATCTCTCCAACTAGAAGAAGGAATTAATTGATAAAAGTGGTAGCAAGAGCTAAGAAAGCAGGATATATCGACCGATACGCCATCACCACTTGCAAAAACACTCATATACCAAAACTTCCAATAGTTACCTAGACAAAGATTTACTGCTTTCTGAAAAGACTAATAATGCCATTGGCAAATGACTTCATATTCCCCCAAAGAGATGATGTCGTTGATGGCTCTGCATCTTCAGCCTGCGTACTGGAATGCTCTCTGCAAAACGAATAATTTTGTATTACATCCAAATCAAACTCAAGAAAAGGTGTTAGAGTGAAATGTCTAGTTTAACACTTGCCCACATAACTTAATCCTTGATAAAGAGATTCGGATAAAGAGACTGAGCATGGCCTTTGACCAAACTTCTATCGAAAAAAATTAAAATAAGTAGATTTGACATATCTTCAGATGGGATTAGCTATTAAGTCTTCATCTGCACATAATTATTGCGAATTGAGAGCTTAACCATGGAAAACGACAAGGAAATTACCATGCTCATTGGTTTGCTAACTACTGACTCATGGATTGGTGGTTCGTTAACATCCCACCAACCATGGTAGAAGAGGTAACATATAAAGATAATATCATGTTCCTGAACTTAAATTTCTGCATGTGCTGAGGGCCCTATTTCCCTAATAGGAATCAAGAATATTGAGGAGAGAGAAGTATAAAATAAGACGGAAAAGGAAGCGGCAAACGAAAAATGAAGACCAATCCAGAAGAATTCTATACAAAGGAAAATTCCTTGAAATGCTTGGATAAGATAGAGAGGCCTACAAGCAAATCAGAAATACAATCGTATTTATCTTGCGCAGATAAGCAAGAGGATAAGACGTAATACTTTATAGCTTGAACCCATGGAAACACAGTTACAACCAAATCAAACACTAATCTTTTATCCGTACACTTAATGTCCGTCCTTATACCAGTAAGTAATTATGATTTTCCATTCAATTACATTGTCCCCATGCCCAAGCAATGGCATAAATATATGAGAGAAGGGGCACATGAAGAGCTACAGGGTTAAATAAAAGCAGAAGAGTACCCTGACTAGGAGCATCAATGGAGTTGAACTTATAGGTTATTCAGGGTCATAACTCAGAAGTAGAGGTCCATAGTTGATGTTCTAAAGAAAATTTTCATTTATCTTTCACAACATTAATTGCAGACAAACTAGTAGCATGGTTCGTTCAGAAGAATAGTTTGGGCACGATCTTTGGCCTGAATATTGTAGATAACCAATTTATTTATCTTTTCACACACTAAATGCATATGAATTAGAAGCGCACTGATTCAGAAGCATAGTTAATTGTTGCTATCCAGTATAACCATACGCCATGTACTGCATGAGGATCCAAGCTAATCATGGTATGAGAACATAAGGTGGCGACAAGTTCTATTCAGGTGACAATTTTTCCCACTTATCTATGTATAGAAAATTTTACAACTATGTAACTATAGTAAAAACATAGGATACTGAGCTGAGAAGTTTTGAGCGAATGCTTCAAGTTCGTTCTTACCGTATTGAAAGGGTCATATATCTGGTGAAATATGTTGAGAATGATTGAAGTGGAGACTAGAGTAGATGAACACCAAAATTAAAGCAACCAAGTTCATACACTAACGATGTTACACACCAAGCAAGAATATTTTATCATTTGTCCTTGTGTACAAGCCTCTGATCTTAGTGCGTCTAATACAAATCTATATCCATTTGAGCATATCTTAGGTGGCAAACAATCACATCAGATATTTGAATGTCGATGATAATGACACTGCTATACAAAATAGAAACTTACCTGGAAAGTTTGTCTGGCTGAGGGATCTCTTTATATTGCTCTGTTTTACGCTTTGAGTCATCATATTGTTTAATCATATCCTTTGTATCACCTAAACTTGGATGAGCAACTCTATTACTTTCCCCTATTGGCAGATCTTTTTCTTTTGCAACAAATTCATTTTGATCAGCTTGGGCTTCATCTGTTTGACTACTTTTCGGTCCCTGAAAGAGAAAAATACAAGAGATATAAATAGAAGTATGCTAACATGGAACATCATCCATTCATGGACAGAAAAAGACTTTCATTTATGGCAACCCTGACATTAGTTTAAAGCATTGAAATTTTGAAAGAATCAAGAACCAAGGTTTAATGAAGAACCTAGCATGCACCTCACGGATTCTAAGAAATTTCTTGAATAAGGACGGATTCAATATCACAATCCATTAGGGCAATAAATCAGATGAGAAGAAGCCTCATATAAAATTCAATGCAATAACATGAGGAAGACCTAGGATGCAACATTTTTGTGTGCTTCTACGAAGAATACATTGCATAAGTTATTAAAGCATACTATAGTACTATTAACGTCGGCTACTTACTGGAGTGGCAACCTCTTCAGACACAACATTAACTGAGGAGGAAGTCTGAGCCTCTTCTTTGGGTTCTAAATTCCCGCCACTTGCACCGTTAAGATCAGTATCATATGTCACCTTAGAATCAATTCGAACACTGACATCAGCTGACATCTCACTGCTTGAATTCTCTTCAACTTGAGTCACAGATTTAATTTCTCTAACTTGTTCTTGCCTTGGCAAATCATACATCGCCGCAGAAACATTTTGAGCATTGGAATCAGCTGGCACCTCACCGGTTGATTTCTCTTCAACATGAGCCAAAGACTCAGTTTCGCTAACTTTCTGTTGTACTGGCAGATCTTCAGTCGCAGGACACGAGGGAGACATCTTAGCTCTGTACTGCAGCTCCTGAAGGATGTTCTTCACGACATAGTAAGAGCCACCCAATTCTTTCTGAGCATATGAAACAGTAGGGAATGCCCCGGCATTCTTTGCTCTGTACCTGTAAATGATAATCAATGTCGCTTCACTTAATCCCTCCTTACCGAAGATTCGAAACCCCAAAATAAAATCGTATAACATTCTACCAAATCAAACTTCAAAACAATGACAAAACTCTCTAAACACAATAATTGATCATCAATTCAAATAAAAACCATCAAGATCAAACACAAAATCAGACTCAGTACTTCATAGAATAACATAATCTACTTACTGGTTGACAAAGGATTCAAGCATAACTTGGCGCTCCGCCTTGGGAAGCCTTTTCCCCTTAACTTTGGGTTTGGGGACATTTCCATTCGGCGCCTCCGCCTCCCCCTCTGCCTCTGCCTCGGCAGCAGCGGCGTTAGAGTTACTAGCGTACGGCCGTCGGCGCCACCCACTCAATACTGTAAAAACCCACCAAAAAAAGAAAACATTAAACACAAAATCTTTTGATCAAACCGTAAGTTTCACGTCGTACTTCGATTTTTTGAGTGTAAAAAGGAAGGGAAAAATTACCAGATTTGTGGGGGCAGTTGGAGTTGAAGGAGGAAAAAGTAAGGCGTCGTCGTAACATGCTCTGTGCATTCAAATCGCTCAGTCGAAATCCATCTCTACATTTGCATGTCGTCGCTGTGCCTACGATTTTGTCTGAAAGAAAGAAGAGAGGGAAGAGAACAGAGAAGCAAAAGGGTTTTACGTTTTTGGGTCTTTTTGGTTTCGTGGGTCGGTCTGTCGTCTGATAAGACTTCCAGAACAAGAAGACAAGAAAACGACTTGGAATCTGTCCATGCAAGGCCCATTCTTCGGATTCTCAAATCTTACAGCCCATTTTTCCCTTATTTAGAGCATCTTTGCTGACATGCCTTGAAATGGGACATGGATCATCTCTAGATCCAGTTGTCCTAATCCATCTATTCACATTATTCAGACTATTAAAATTTGATCCAACAGCTATAAATAGAGGCTCACTTTAAAAGTTATAATAATTTTAGCCATTGGATCAAATTTCAATGGTTCGGATGATTTGACTAGGTGGATTAGGACAACTGGATCCAAAGAGGATCCATGTCCCTTGAAATGGGCATTTTATATCTTTTCTTTGTCGAAAAATTCACGGAAAATAAATTATCCATCTTAGCTAAAAAATGTAAATAAAAACCTAACATTAAATTCTTTTTACATCTTTTTGTGATGAGTCCCACTAATCAAAGATAGAAAATTGAATGAGATCTCAAATTTACATCACTCTAATTGGAGTCTCACTTTCATTTATATTTGTCGAAAATATAAAACAGGATGTAATATGGTTTTTGCATCTAAAATTTGCATTTTTTTCATAGGATATGCTCTTAATTTTACCTCTTTGAATAGTTGGACTTGTCAATCATCACCCAAAGATGTGAAAAAGAATGTCAATTTAGGTTTTTATTTACAACTTCTGACGCAGATGGATTATTTGCATTATACCATTGAAGAATTTTTCGGCAAACAAAATATGTAAAATGGCCATTTCAAGGCATTTTGTATCCCCATTGAAGATGCCCTAAGTTATGAATTGTCTTGGTGAATATGATCTCATTCTTCAATTCATTCTGTTTTAAGCTCAAATTCTTTTTTTTTTTTTTTGTGACATCCCACATTGCCCAGGGGAGTGATCCTTAAATGTATATTCCTATCCCTACCTAGCGCGAGGCCTTTTGGGAGCTCACTGGCTTCGGGTTCCGTAGGAACTCCGAAGTTAAGCGAGAAGGGGGCTAAAGCAATCCCATGATGGGTGACTCACTGAGAAGTTGCTCATGAGTTCCCAAAAACAAAACCGTGAGGGAATGGTAAGCCCCAAGCGGACAATATCGTGCTACGGTGGTGGAGCGGGCCGGGGAAGCGATCCGCCCCGGGCAGGGATGTGACAATTTGGTATCAGAGCCTAACCCTGGTCGCGTGTGTGCCGACGAGGTCGTCGGGCCCCTAAGGGGGGTGGATTGTGACATCCCACATCGCCCAGGGGAGTGATCCTTAAATGTATATTCCTATCCCTACCTAGCGCGAGGCCTTTTGGGAGCTCACTGGCTTCGGGTTCCGTAGGAACTCCGAAGTTAAGCGAGAAGGGGGCTAGAGCAATCCCATGATGGGTGACCCATTGGGAAGTTGCTCGTGAGTTCCCAAAAACAAAACCGTGAGGGAATGGTAAGCCCAAAGCGGACAATATCGTGCTACGGTGGTGGAGCGGGCCCGGGAAGCGATCCGTCCCGGGCCAGGATGTGACATTTTTAGTATAGCTTAGACTAATAATATCGCCTATAACAAAAGTACAAAAGTTACTGTCAAGTAATTTTTTTTTTTGTCGGGCATGTTGGAAACTTCAATTCAAAAGGAATTAAATTATTTTGTTTGAATGGAATTATATATGATGGGTTGTGTCCATTTATGAATAAGGTTATGATTTTTCAATTAAAGAGAAATTATGCAACCTTTGTCTTTTAATTGAAGAGATGCAACTATTGACTCTTCAAGAAAAAACAAAACTATTATGAAGCGTCACTTCCACATTTTTATATACAAGACCAGCAGCCTCCTTTTGGGGTCACTAGTTTCACCAAAAACAATGGGACAAAAAATGTCCCCCAAACAAAAAAGTTCAAAAGCAGCCCAAAATAATACAAGGGTATTTTCGTCATATAAACAATAATTTTAATAATTAAATTTTTTGTATAGTGTTTTTTTTTTTTAATAATTAGTACCTCACAATGGGTTAACAATAATGTGACTTAATTAGTTATTTATTAAATATTATTTTCTCTATTTTTAAGCACATTTAAAACAATTTAAGAGGCACGTAATGTCGGTTATAAAAAAGGTCTTTCGCACGCGCATAATAATGTGATTCAATTAGTTGTCAGATGATTGTTTTTTTTTTTTTGAACAAATGATATTATCTACACTAAAGGGAAGATGGTGGGCTTAGCCTCACAATAAGCTAGGAATAATATGATACAATCAGTTGTTTATTAAATATTATTTTCTCTATTTTTAAACACGTTCAAAACCTTTTAAGAAGTGCGTACTGCTGGTGATAAAAAAAAAAGCCATTCGCACGGGCACAATAGTGTGATTCAATAATTTATTTATTAAATATTATTTTCTCTATTTTTAAACAATTAAGAGGCGTGTAGTGCTAGTTATAAAAATACATTTCGCACTCGCATGATAATGTGATTCAATTAATTGTCAAATAATCCTTTTTTTTATTTTTTAACTTTAACGAAAAACCACATTTTACACTAAAAAGTCAATCATGGTACTATTCATTTTACCCTTTATTTTGTCCTTATCGTTAAAACTCAAAGTTTTCAAGTTATTTTCATTATTTTTTTTTTAATAAACAATATTATATACACTAAAAGCAACTCCAACCCCAAAAAGTGAGATGGCCCAAAGTCCATTTAATCCACCCAAATGAATCGAAATTGACCCCAATAAACAGTAATTGGCCAAATGCATCTCCACCCCTAAAAAATGAGCTGACCCAAAGTCTAATCAATTCATATTAAAATATTATTAATATTTTTATAAAATAATAAAAATATTTTTATTTTTAATTTTGGATAGAAATTTTAATTAATCTTGTCACGCCACGTGTCATTTTCCGAAAATACAATTTTTGTAGAAGATGGTTAGGTATTTATATATATATATATAATCGTTTAATTTTTTTTTTCCGTATTTTTTATTATTTTTTTATTAAGTTAATTAATCTGGACCATTGGATTTCAAAAAGGTTGAAATCCAACAGCCCAAAAGTGGACACGTGGCCCATATTGAGATTCTAATATATATATATATATATATATATATATATATTTATCTTTTTTTTTTTAGTCTGGAACGCATGTGTGTATCCCACGTGCCAACCGCAAAAAAAGAATCAGTTGTGGCTGACATTAGGATGACGTCAGATTGGCCGGTTCTTCACTCAGCCTATTCTAGGCCGGCCTAGAGACTGGGGTGGACTTTGGGCCAGTCTATTTTGTGGGGTAGAGTGGGTTTTTGGGGTGCCAGCCTATTTTTTTAAGCTTTGGGCCAGCCTCTTAAAGAGGGCTGAAGTTGCTATAAGGGGGAGGCGGTGAGTTTAGCCTCACAATGAATTAACAATAATGTGATTCAATCAGTTGTTTATTAAATATTGTTTTCTCTATTTTAATGTCAATTCAATAGAATGTAGATGGAAATAGACATGCCTATTTTATTATGTGGATTCAGCTGCTTTGATTGATTATGAGAGGTTTTTTCTAGCATGGTCTAATATTATTATTTTTATTCATTTAATCCAAATATTTGACTTTCCTTTTGTCATAGAAAAAAAATATTGAAGCAATTCGTGCATATAAATACATTTAAAATGTGTAAGTCGTGCGTAGCACGTCGTATTTCAAAAGATACCTTTTGCACGCGCGTAAGCGTGTACATGAAGGCTAGTTTATTAAATTTGGTATTTAGTTGCATTAATTATTTCTTATTTTCCTATATGATTAAAATATAGCAATTAGACTCTATTTTTTAAACAATGCATAGTTGTGTTGATGCAAGATGTAAACTAATCCACATGCCTAAGAGGACACGACAATGTCTTTGGCCCTACAACTTTAATTTCTTCAACTTCTTCAATGTATCGAAGTTGAACTTCTTTCCTCACTTTCTCATTGTGTATTGTTTTTCTTGGGAAAATTTGAAATAAGTTCAATTTTTAGTGACTTTTGACTTTTGAAATAAGTTCAATTTTTAATTACTTTGTACCCATTTCAAAAATCTCCTTCTTTCTTCTTACTTTTTGGAGCTTTTAATACGGTTTTACATTTGACGTTATCCTCATCCGAAGACCTTGGACACCAAATACGTTTCTCTTTTTGTGGGCTACCTATTGCTTAATTCTATTTACTCCACCAACTACTTTCCCACTCAACTTACGCGTTGCCTTATCCATCACACAAAGCTACTAAAATTATCAAGAAAATTCGAAACTACAGTAGCCAACCCTCAAATTCGAAAATTATAGCTGCCCAGCCCCACAAAATTACCACAATCATCTATAATATCTATATAACAGTAATCGAATTTGAAACTAAATTTCACCACCACCAACAATCCCAAATTTATCAATAATTAGGAGTTCGAAATTTACCTTGACATGAGAAAGGATAAGGTTCATCTAGAAAGGACATTGACACGAGAGAGTAGGGAGATCAAAATTTTTAAACTAAATGATGTGGTGATTGAATATTGAATTATTAGTTAAGTGTTGATTAACGTGTTTATTTTCTATTAGCGACACATCATCGAATTTTATTTAAAAATTTGATCTTCGTAATATTATCCGAGAGAATTTCCAAGCTTCATTTTGCGTGAGACTCGGCAAGCAAAATAGTTTATTTTTTGTGTCATCATTTCACCATTAGCATTTACATGGTTTTCTAAAGGCTCAAGAAATGCATTTTCTACGTTCGAATGGAGGCATTAAAGACTGAGATTTGAATGGGCTTTGAGAATGCGCAAGGTCGGAAACAACTAACTTAGAAAATGGAGTATTTGATTGACGGCAATGGAGGTTATGAAAATGTGGAGTATTTGGTTGACTGCAATGGAGGTTATGGTTAAAAAAGTGTCTACCAAATTGTGTTTCTCACTCCTCGTAATGATATAGAAAATAAAATAAAATTTAATCATGATTATG